AAAAACATAAGACCAAGCTTACAGATACAAGGCCAAAAAAAAAACACACACACAAAGTGGGCAACAAAGGACTATTTAGAGGAAAACGTATAGCCCTGAATATATTAGAAAACAAATTGAAATTCAATTAGCTAAGCCCACATCTCAAGAATCCAAAATGAGCAAATAAACCCAAAGAAACGAAGGCAAAGGCCAGTAAGGAAGACCTCTTGCACAGCTAGCCAAATAAAATACACAATATAAACATGTGTTTCTTGATTTCACCTGCCCTCACCCCTTGCCCCACTTTTTCTGGTAAGAGAACCTCTCTATTCCATGGGAAACATATAAGAATTACTTGTGGCTCATCCTGCCCCACCCCAGTCCTCCACACCCTCCTACCCCCAGCCCTGGCTGCAGTGACTGCTTCAGCACAACAAGTGACCTGAGGAAGACCCACTGCTCTTCACTGAAATACAGGGATCCTCAAGAAGGGGCTCTGTGTATACACTCAAGCTTCCTACAGAAAACGTCTGTAGGAGGGAAAGACATTGATCAGCTGGGAGCAGAGATGACAGAGATAAATGAGAGAGCCTGAGGAATCGTACTGCTGGCATTGGCTTACCCTGTCCGAAGCGTGCCACTCAGAGACCTCAGGTCAACAAGCCTTGTTTACTTCTAATTTGAGTTCAATTTTGTCATTTACAAGAAAGTTCCATATAGGCCAGGCATGGTGCCTCACACCTGTAATCCCAGCACTTTGGGAGGCCAAGGGGGGGCCAATCACCTGAGGTCAGGAGTTCGAGACCAGCCTGGTCAACATGGCGAAACCCCATCTCTACTAAAAATACAAAAATTAGCCGGGCATGGTGGTGGGCGCCTGTAATCCCAGCTACTCGGGAGGCGGAGACAGGAGAATCACTTGAACCCAGAACATGGAGGTTGCAGTGAGCCAATACTACACCACTGCACTCCAGCCTGGACAACATGGCGATACTTTGCCTCAAAAACAAAACAACAACAAACAAAAAAAGAAAGTTCCAAATAATACAAATATTATGCAAGACCTTTTGCCCAAAAAGTTTAAATATATATGAAATATGATCCTAGAATGATATGAATTATCAAAATTGACTCAAGGATAGAAAACTGTAGACAGAACACAACTGAATAAACTAAAAGGCAAAGATCAATCCCTGAAAAAAGTATCCAGCACAGATGTTTTTGTAAACAAGTTCTACAAAATGATAAACAAATACCTGGTCTATAAACAATTCAAGCCTGAAGAAAAAGACGTCTCCAAACCCATTTGCAAGGCTAGCATAAAGCTAATATCGAAATAGAACAGGAAGGTCATTTTTTAAAACAAGGGAGGGGACTGGCACAGGGACAGAGACAAAACTCGTAAGTAAATAAGTAATATACTATAAAACTAAGCAAGGTTGGCTGGGCGCGGTGGCTCAAGCCTGTAATCCCAGCACTTTGGGAGGCCGAGACGGGTGGATCACGAGGTCAGGAGATCGAGACCATCCTGGCTAACCCGGTGAAACCCCGTCTCTACTAAAAAATACAAAAAACTAGCCGGGCGAGGTGGCGAGCGCCTGTAGTCCCAGCTACTCGGGAGGCTGAGGCAGGAGAATGGCGTAAACCCGGGAGGCGGAGCTTGCAGTGAGCTGAGATCTGGCCACTGCACTCCAGCCTGGGCGACAGAGCCAGACTCCGTCTCAAAAAAAAAAAAAAAAAAAAAGGCCGGGCGCGGTGGCTCAAGCCTGTAATCCCAGCACTTTGGGAGGCCGAGACGGGCGGATCACGAGGTCAGGAGATCGAGACCATCCTGGCTAACACGGTGAAACCCTGTCTCTACTAAAAAATACAAAAAAAAAAACTAGCCGGGCGAGGTGGCGGGCGCCTGTAGTCCCAGCTACTCGGGAGGCTGAGGCAGGAGAATGGCGTAAATCCGGGAGGCGGAGCTTGCAGTGATCTGAGATCTGGCCACTGCACTCCAGCCCGGACGACAGAGCCAGACTCCGTCTCAAAAAAAAAAAAAAAAAAACTAAGCAAGGTTTATATCAGAATGCAAGGTGTGTTCAACATTAGGAAACCTATTACTGTAACTCAGTACAATCACACAATAAAATCTTTTGATTTTCTCCATAGATGTCAACATTCATCACTGTTAAACAAAAGGGAAGGGGGAAAAAAGAAAAAACCCAATAAGCTAGAACAGAAGAAAACATCTTCAGCCTAATGAAGATCATCTACTGGAAGCCCAGAGCAAGCGTCCTACCTCAGGACGCAACGTGAAAACCATTCCCACTGAGAAAGGGGCAATCAAGGGTGCCATGCAACATCACACTGGAGGTCCTGGCCTCCGAGAGTCACAAGAAATAGACATGAGTGTAAAGGAGGAGATGAAACTGCCATTAGTGGGATACAATTTGGCTATCTAGAAAGCCACAAGATCAACTGAAGAACTGCGCATTCGACAAGGTGGGCAACACAAAGATGGACACACAGGTGGATGCCAGGGATGGGCAAAGGTGATTTCTACAGATCCTTCACTACCAGTAACTAGGACTTTCATAAAACTCCTAAGACTAAATCAGATTGGAAGTAAAAGCCCATTTGAAGACCACACCACCTTCCCAAAGAACATATCTCATTTCTGGATAGGAAGATGAAAAACTGTTAATTTTTCTACAATATTTATTTAAAAATAAAATAAAAAACAGGGACGGGCATGCTGATTCACGCCTGTTATCCCAGCACTTTGGGAGGCCGAGGCGGGCGGATCACGAAGTCAGGAGATCGAGACCATCCTGGTTAACACAGTGAAACTCTGTCTCTACTAAAAAAATACAAAAAATTAGCCAGGCGTGGTGGTGGGCGCCTGTAGTCCCAGCTACTTGGGCGGCTGAGGCAGGAGAATGGCGTGAACCTGGGAGGCAGAGCTTGCAGTGAGCCGAGATTGTGCCACTGCACTCCAGCCTGGGTGACAGAGCGAGACTCCGTCTCAAAAAAAAAAAAAAAATGATATTTCCAGTGAGCAAAGAATGAACTGTCCAAGAAATAGTATAGGGACAAGTGACTTTCCCTTTAGGAGAAGTTTGCTACCTCTCAGAAAAAACAACTTCAGATGAATTATAGATACACACACATACATATCTTTAACCCATATCGTCTATTTTTGGTATATACATCTATATATTTTATACATGTATATTCATACATACATATATACAGATGTATATATGTTTAAAGCCACACTATAAGAGGAAGCAAATGAGAAACAGATAAATGAAGTGATAGCTGGAAGACGTGGGAATCAGTACAGGTTTTCACGCCTGTTTCTGAAATGGGAGAGTCTACAGCACGCTTGGCACTAACACATCATATCCAGTAGACAGGACGGCCAAAAACACAAAACAAAAAAACAAAAGAATCAAACACCCAAACCCAAACAGAACAAAACCCAACACATATACCCGACCAAAGTCTTTAAGAAAGCAAAAGAGGTCGGGCACAGTGGCTCACACCTGTAATTTCAGCACTCTAGGAGGCCGAGGTGGGTAGACCACTTGAGGTCAGGAGTTCGAGACCAGCCTGGCCAACATGGCAAAACCTTGTCTCTACTGAAAATACAAAAATTAGCCAGGCATGGTGGCACACACCTGTAATCCCAGCAGTTTGGGAGGCTGAAGCAGGAGGTTCACTTAAGGTCAGGAGTTCGAGACCAGCCTGGGCAACATGGCAAAACCCCATCTCTCCTAAAAATAGAAAAAGTTAGCCAGGTGTGGTGGTGCACGCCTGTAGTCCAAGCAACTTGGGAGGCTGAGGCAGGAGAATTACTTGAACCCGGTAGGTGAAGGTTACAGTGAGCAGAGACTACACCACTGCACGCCAGCCTGAGCAACACAGGTAGAATCTGTCTCAAAAAAAAAAAAAAAAAAGGGCTTCGAAGCACAAGAGGTAAGGTTTAAGTCCCACTGGCTTACAACGGGAAGGTATGTGAGCACATCTGCAGAGTTGGTAACGGGGAGGCAGGTGTTCCCTCTGATAGCTGCTATTTCTTAATGAGGCATGGGTTGTGGTAACTACCACAAGAAGGGGGAATTGATAGATAAGACAGAAGTTTTGAAACAGACATCCCAGAGTAGATCCACTGGGCAGTGCTTAGTGTCCATCTGAGGTTTGTAACGATAAACTTAAGGTACAACGGCTGGCCAGGCTGGCTGTTTTCTCACCTAATGACGGTGACTTGGGTTTGGGCCGAGTTGAATGACTGGGTTTACCCAGGGTTAGGGTTTTACTAGCTGAACAGAATGGAGGGACACGGGGGTGTCGGGTGGACCATGGAACTGATGCTATGCAAGAGGGAAGTGAAGACAGAAGGTTAATCATGAGAATGTCAGGGCTGGTTAGAAGGATGAAGGGTCAGGGTGGAAAAGCAGCCTCCATTTAAAAGGTTACAAGACAATCAATGTCCTCAGGGAATACTCAGGTTTCAGTTAAAGTCAGATGGCCGGACCATTCAAAACAAAGGTAAGGACAGAGAGATTTGCCAGCCACCTTCTGGAGCTGATGGATGGTGAAGAGTGGTGGGAGAGACGGGATGGCATGTGGGGATGGACACAGTAGCTGGAGGTGAGCACTCCCGTACGCAGGGTGACTAGAAAGGCGGGGAGAACAGCATGAGGCACCATGGGCTCCTGAGCGTCTCTTAGAGGCAGGTGGGTGTTAGGTCCTAGGACTGTCATCCTGAATGCTTGAATCGGTACGAACTGCAAGCAGGCAAGGAAGCAGGAAGCTCCCAGCTGTTACACACATGCAAGGAGGCCCAGCGCAGGGCCTGGCACTTTCTAAGTGCCCAGTAAGAAAGAACAAACAACCGGGGAAAGACTCCAGCCATTTCCCATTTCCTTCCCATTCAGCCCACCCAGTCACAAGGTCTCTTTACCAGGGAGCAGTTCTTCACCTCACCACAAGCCTCCGTCCCCCGAGAGAGCCACTCAGACACCAGAACAAGTCACCAACCCACCAGGGGTTTAATTCTCCTAATCAAAACATCAGTTCAGAGAGGGGCCCTGCTTTGTCCCCATCCAGGGGTGAAGATCTGCAAAGCACCCTGGGAATGTCCAAGCCCAGAAGAGCCAGGGGCCCATCCCTGAGCAAGTGGAAAAGTGGGTCCTGGAGTCTCAGGTGGCCTCCTCCTCTTCGCTCTCCTCCTCACTCTCATGATACTGTCTGCGGTTTGTGTTAACAAACAGGTCAGAATCATCTTCTGAGCTGGACTCCTCTCCTGATAACTGTGGCTCAGCTGGGAGTTCTGGTTGAGTTTGTCTGCACGAAGGGAAAAGAGCAGAGTTAGCCCAGCACCTTCTGAGAAAACCAGATCTACAATCAAGGAGTTCCAAAAAAAGGAGGACCATCCGGCCCAGCAGTCAGGGCCCTACAGCACCCTTTAAAGACTAAAACAAGGGACAGAGGCAGAGCAAACAGTGGGGAAACTTGGCTAGAGAAACAGGCTAAAGACTGACCCCAGTCCCCAAACATGTGCCACAGCCATTTGTTTCAGTCAGGAATAATGATTCTACGACCACCAACTAATGCTTAATGAACCCGCATCACACACCAGATGCTGCACTAAGCAATTTTACAAGCCATCCACTTCTTTAATCCTCACAATGCTCCCATTTTATATATAAGGAAAATAGAGTTGGAAGGAATTAAATGACGTGCTTAAAGTCATTCAGCTTTAAGTGGCAAAGCCAGGATTTTAACCCAGAGAATCTGACCTTCAAGCCACATTCATAACTATGTACCACATACGTAGGAGCTCTCAACAGATACCCTATGTAAGGAGGAAAAAAGGCTCTATTTTTCCCTCAAGGCACCAAAGCATGAACCCCTTATTTTCCATGTGTCCCACCGCAAGGCTTGTTTCTCACCTGTTCCTGTTGTTGTGTTTCTCAGCCACTTCAGAGAAGGCCTCAGGCCTATGCCAAGAGATGAGCAAAGTCAGGGAGGACAAATCACTTTCTCACAAAAGAGCTGTTTCCAGCTGTCTCTGCCTGGGATGCCATGACCTTCCCTCCCCTAATTCCCAAGCTAGGAAGGCAATGCCTTCAGAAGCCAGAGAGTCAGTGATCAAGGGGACCACCTACCAAAAGCCCTCCTTCTGCAGGGAGCGCACGTGGTCCTTGCAGAGCACAAACGAGATCTCAGCCTTCACCTTTTCTCCCTCTTCAATGGGGTCAACAATGAGAAAGTCTCCTGTAGGTAAGAAGAGAAAAGGCAAAGTCAGGCCTGCCTGCAATAAGGAAAGCCAAAGCCATAGGAAGTGGTTCTATCTCCTAGAGAGGGCTGCCTCTCTCACCTCCCTGTCTCTCTTTTTTTCTTTTTTTTTTTGAGACAGGGTCTTGCTCTGTTGCCCAGGCTGGAATGCAATAGCATGATCATAGCTGACTGCAGCCTCCACCTCCCAGGCTCAAGTGATTCTCAGGCCTCAGCCTCCCGAATAGCTGGGATCACAGGCACGTGCCCAACTAATTTTTTACTTTTTGTAGAGACAAGATCTCATTATGCTGCCCAGGATAGTCTCAAGCGATCCTCCCACCTCAGCCCCTCAAAGTGCTGGGATTACAGGAGTGATCCTCTCACCTCTCTTGATCCAGATGTTCTTGCGGTATTTAGAGGGCATGCTCACCAGGAAGCGCTGCCCTTGGGCTGTCTCCACCTCATGCAGATTGTTCCCTGGGGTCCTGAGTACCTGGTTCAGGAGAGACCAAGAATCAGTCTCATCGGTCAAACACTCTCTCAGCCACGCGCACCCTGCCACCACCCCAGGGGCCCTCCAGGGCTGGAGGGGTGGGGAGCAGAGCAGCTTGTGCCCAAAGCCACTCACCCTGACAATCTGCTGCTGGTCGGAGGGCACGATGTGCTCCCCCAGCACCTCCTTCACCACATGCTTCCTCTTGGTGGCCTGAGACATGCTGAAGTTGTCCCAGGGTGGTTAGGAACGAAGAGACTGTCAACTCCTCCTCCTGAGTTCCTTGGATGGCAGGCTCAGAACCCAGGACTGTTCTGAAGATGGGGAGGGGCCTTTTACTGAGGGGTGACACGGTGTCTTGGTTAAGAACATGGGCTCTGAAGTCTAACTGCCTGGATTCAAATCCTACCCTCATTTATTTCCTAACTATTCAACTTCTCTAGGTCCCAGAAAAATAACAGCTAACTCAGCACTGTTACAGAATGGGACAACAGTGCATGTCATGTAAAAGTAACTCCGGCAGGGAGCTGTGGCTCACGCCTGTAATCCCAGCACTTTGGGAGGCCGAGGCGGGCGAATCACGAGGTCAAGAGATCCAGACCATCCTAACACGGTGAAACCTCGTCTCCACTAAAAATACAAAAAATTAGCCGGGCGTGGTGGCGGGCGCCAGCTACTTGGGAGGCTGAGGCAGGAGAATGGCGTGAACCCGGGAGGCGGAGCTTAGAGTGAGCCGAGATCGTGCCACTGCACTCCAGCCTGGGCAACAGAGAGAGACTCGGTCTCAAAAAAAAAAAAAAAAAAAAAGTAACTTCTACAATCTTAGGTACTGGTGTAATGTAAAACTATAGGAAAGTTCCAGATAAATCATCCTGGCAACCTCTCTGGAAGGAGTTTGAAATAAACCGTATCTTTCTCAACACGCTTGTACACCCCAAGTCTGGCACAGTCACACAACAGAGAAGTTCAGTCTGGCAACACACTACAGCCGGAGACAAATTAGGTGGCCACCGTGATGGTCCAAGCCAGGAACTAGTTAATTAAAGGTTGAGGTGAGCAGGCTTGTCTGCGACATCTGCATTTTTCTGACTTGCGTACTTAGAAGACGAGGACCAGCACCCTTAAGACTGATGGTTTCCGAAGGAAACACTGTCATCTCTAGTTGCCGTTCTCCTTCCTCCTCCCTGTCTATCCCGGAGAAAAGACCCTCAGAGAAACACCCACACTCAGTCTCTGGCCCTGGGCTCCCAGGAACGCTGCCGGAGCAACCCCGCTGTCCAGGCTGGACGCTGAGAGAGGATCGTCCACGACTCACTTCAAGGCTGAGCCAAGAAAACACAGTAAAGGAACTTGCCGGCGGCCGCGACGGTAGCGTCACCTCGAAATCAGGTCTCCAGCGTTCCCAGTTCCCACCAGTCCCACTGCGAGGAGTGCGACGTGAGTCTGAGTCGGATCCCTCCGAAAACCGTCTTCCGGCGCTGTCTCAGAGGCCTCCCGGCCACCCGTCCCCTCCCTTGTCCGTCTTCTAACTCTTCCCTACGCCAGGTCGGTCAAGCCTAAGTCCTTGAGTTCCGGGTCCGGGCAGCACAGAAAGGAAGTTCTCTCCCTGTAGGCCTCTCTCCCTCAGAACTGCTCGAGGAGCGAGACCTCAGAAGACAGGGCTTCCCGCGAAGAACCGGAAAGGAGCGCCTACTAAGGACGCCGTCGAGGTCCGTGGCGCCTCAACTCTATAGCTCTAACTGGCTAGAAGGGCCCAACGTGGAAGGTTTTTTTTTTTTTAAAAGGCGGCTGAGGCGACCCGGAAGCGGAAATGGAAGAAAGTTCTAGTGGCTTGACGTATCCGCGGGAGCAGCAGGGTGGCGGGAGGAACCGTTACGGGAACTGAAGCTGCCGGTGAGCGCGAGCCGCGGAGCAGGGCCCTGGCTGGAGGCCAGAGGGATTGCGGGGAGAAGGGGAGGAGAGGGGCCGCAAGCGCTGTGGCGGGCCCTGGGGGAGAGTTTGGCCGCGCTGCGGGGAGGGGGCGGGGTGCGGCGCGTGGAAGCCGGGCCGCGGGAGGGGGCGGGCCGCGGCTGCGCGCGATGGGGGCGGAGCTGGGGTGCGGCGTGTGCCCCGTGGACGCGTAGCGGGTGTGCGCAGCGCTCGGTGTGCGCTTCGCCCTGTAGGTAGAGACTCTGGTTAGCTTTCCACGCCAAGTGGCTGTTCCAGGCAGTCAGTACCTTCTTGGCTCAGCCAAGGTCACAGAGGGAGTGACAGCTTCCGGGCAGCCCTGGCTACTGACTCTGGGAATCTTCCCACTGCCCCGCTTGCGCCACCTGTTAGGCAAGATTGTTTTTCTTCTGGGGCAAGATCAAAATCCAGGTCCTGCAGGAAGAAACTCCTTTTCAGAATAGTAGGGAAGAGTCTCCCTGGATCTCGGTTTTCTCCTTTCAGGATGAGGGGGATAGAGCAAGCCACCGGAATCCCTGGCTTGGCTGCCTCTTACTGTGAGATTGCTAGTGGGCTCTTAGGAGTTCCAGGTCTTCAGCCCTAATCTGCCTTTCTTTTGGGATTCCTAGATTAAGCCTGATCAAGATGACAACCTCCCAAAAGCACCGAGACTTCGTGGCAGAGCCCATGGGGGAGAAGCCAGTGGGGAGCCTGGCTGGGATTGGTGAAGTCCTGGGCAAGAAGCTGGAGGAGAGGGGCTTTGACAAGGTGTGGGGTGGCCGCCTGTACCTGGTGCAGGCGGGGGTGGGAGGGAAGTGAGTCCATCTGCTAGGGGGTGGACAGTGGGGTATAATCTGAAGAGGCTGCCAGAGCCTGGGCACCTGGTGGAGAGGAGATGGGGGCAAAACCCACGCTGCTTCTTGGGCTTGTGTACTCTGAATGGCACAGGAATGGCCGCCTTGCTCTTATCCCTCACTGAACACTGAGCAGCACACCCCTTCCTTTTTCCCTGTTTTGCAGGCCTATGTTGTCCTTGGCCAGTTTCTGGTGCTAAAGAAAGATGAAGACCTCTTCCGGGAATGGCTGAAGGACACGTGTGGCGCCAACGCCAAGCAGTCCCGGGACTGCTTCGGATGCCTTCGAGAGTGGTGTGACGCCTTCTTGTGATGCTCTCTGGGAAGCTCTCAATCCCCAGCCCTCATCCAGAGTTTGCAGCCGAGTAGGGACTCCTCCCCTGCCCTCTACGAAGGAAAAGATTGCTATTGTCGTACTCACCTCCGACGTACTCCAGGGTCTTTTGGGAGTTTTCTCCCCTAACCATTTCAACTTTTTTGGATTCTCGCTCTTGCATGCCTCCCCCGCCCTTTTTCCCTTGCCAGTTCCCTGGTGACAGTTACCAGCTTTCCTGAATGGATTCCTGGCCCCGTCCCTCACCCCCCACCCTCACTTTCAGTCCGTTTGATACCATTTGGCTCCTTTTTGGGCAGAACAGTCACTGTCCTTGTAAAGTTTTTTAGATCAATAAAGTCAGTGGCTTTCATGACTGGGCTTTGTGCACTGAAAAACAAGTGGGCTGGGAGTTGCCTCTCCTCCAGGGACGGACCATGTCTCCCTCACTCCTTATCAGTAGAGACCGAAACTGGCAGCTTCCCTTCCACTCCCAGAGGGCAGTCATGCTAGCCATGTAGGCCTCAGGCAGGTGACTTGTGTCTCAATCCCCGAGTGATGTGGGAGAGGGTGTGGGTGGATCTTTTCCTGGGAGCCAGATGGACGGTGCTCCAGATGTTAGTTAAGTCAACAGCTGGGCTAGGCAACACCTGGTGGAAAAGTCAGTGGGAGTCAGAGGTACCAGACAGGGTGGGCCAGATGTGGGTGAGAGTTCACCTGCCAGTCAGCATATCATCTGCTCTCCTGGCCTCGGCAAGGGTGAGCAGGGCGCTTGCCATCTTCCATGATCTCTTAGGTAGGAGAAGGAGCACAGGCATCACAGCTGGAAGGATGTGAGGGGAGTACACCTCAGTACATTTTAGTCCTATTCTTTTTGTTTACTTTTTAACTTAATAGAGACGGCCCTTCTGTGTTGCCCAGGCTGGCCTTAAGCGATCCTTAAGCCTCTCAAAGCGCTATGACTATAGGTGTGAGCCACCATACGTGTCCAGCCCTGTTATGTCTTGAACACTTAGTATGAACCAGGCTTGAAGCTAAAATCTTTGCAAACATTTTTTTCTTTCACAATAATAATTATTTTCTCTTTTACAGGTGAGGAAACTTGAGGCTCAGAGAGGCGAATTTGCCCGTGGACTTGCTCCTGGGAAGTAGCCAGACTGGAACTCAGAACTAGCTTGGAAACGCATGGACCGGGCCCTGTGTTCCTTGGTCATGTGGCTTATCCTCTCTGAGTCTCAGTTTTCCCACTTGGAAAATGAGATGGTTGTAGGGAAAGGATATTTGCAGCAGTGTGAACAACAAAGGAGTATTTCCGTAGCACAAATACAACTGCAATCAAGAAAAAGGTGGACTGGCTGGGCGTGATGGCTCACGTCTGTAATCCCAGCACTTTCAGAGGCCGAGGTGGGTGGATCACCTGAGGTCAGGATTTCAAGACCAGCCTGGCCAACATGATGAAACCTCATCTCTACTAAAAATACACAAATTAGCCCGGTGTGGTGGTGCACGCCTGTAATCCCAGCTACTCAGGAGGCTCAGGCAGGAGAATCGAATTTGGGAGGCAGAGGTTGCAGTCAGCCAAGATCATGCCATTGTACTCCAGCCAGGGTGACAAGAATGAAACTCGGTTTCAAAAAAAAAAAAGAAAAAAAAAGGCAGACAGCACAACAGAAAAATAGGTAGAAGACCTAAGATGGCCACAGAAGAAGGTTCCCTCCCAGTAAATAAGCACAGGAAAGGTGCTCCATATTGCTAGTAATAAGACATCACATGCCATTAATACCCATCTGACTGGCAAACACTTTTAAGTTGGACAATACCAAGTATTGATGAGATAGTGAAGCAACAGGAACTGATACCCAGCTGGTGGGAGTATAAATTGATCTAAACAATTTGGGAAGACAGTTGGGTGTTACTTAGTAAAACTGACACACCCTGTGACCAAGCAGTTCCACTCTCAGGACTGTGCCTTTGAGAAAGTCCCCAACACCTGCAGCAGGACTGAGGCGAGTTCACAGCTGCAATGCTGGGAGCAACACTAGCGGCTGTCAATACTGGAGTAGATAAATACGCATTCATGCCACCAGGCACTGAACGGAGGTGAAAATGAACAAATGATAGCTGTGTACAACACAAATCTCCATAGCAAATGAAGCCAAACAAGTTCGTAGGAATTCCTACATAGGAAAACAAAGGAAATGATTATGGTAAATGGTAAAGGAAAAAGTCTACAGTGATTATCTTTGGGGGAGGATGTGGAAGGGCTTAAGGGTAGGCTTGGCCTACCCTGACCTGTATTTCTGGCCTGTGGGGTGGTGGTACAGGCATTGACCAAAAGAGTGTGTTCTACGCCCTTTTCTGTGTATTAGCTACATCTCAGAACAATAAAAATATAAAAGGAAAACCAAAAATAAAGACCTGAGGCTGGAACGATCGTGTGATAGGTCAGAAACTAAATTGTTATTTGTAGGGATGAGAGTTCTGGGCAAGGCTGGGACCGGGAAGTGCGAGTGGCCCAGCCTGAAAGGGACACTGGGGTGGCTGCAGCAGGGCCTAGCTTGTGCTTCCTGCCGCTTCCTGGGAGGCTGCTGGTCTGAGGCCTGGCTGAAGTCACGAGGGCTCTCTCTTGAGTTTCATACTGTTTCTGATGTCTTCCTGGGTAAGTCCCCTCAGCCTTGACCCTCGTGCTGTGATGCTGTCGCAGGCCTGGTGTGCTGAGGTGGGGACTTTGCAGGACCCTGGCCTCACCCACACCTCAGCCCTGATGCTGCCAGATTGTTGCTGGTGCTCTGTGAGGTCATGGAGACTCCCTCCTCCTCCACGAAGCCCTTGCCTGGGCTCCTGCCCACACTGGCTTCCTGATTTGGCCTCGCCTGACTCTGGCACTAGGAGCCTGCTGGAAGCCTGCGGCTCATGCTGTCTGCTTTATTTCCTTGTCATCTGCCTTTCCCAGCTCACCCACAGGCTTTGCCTTAGAAGGGGCTGGAACCTGCCTTCTCACCTCTCCCTTGGGGCACGGGCAGTGCGTATACCAGGTGGCAGGCCACAAACCCTTTATTAGGACTCCATATTGCATCCCACACAAGTTCTTGGCTCTGTCCTGGGACAGCAGTAGACAAAGGGTATCTAGAATGTACCTTGTGACAGTGTGGCCTCTCAAATCCAGCCTGACTCAGCCAGCAGGACAAAGGGACCACAGCTTGGAATGCTGGTGCAGAAAGCAGACCTGGTGGTGAGGGGTGAGAGTCAGGTTGTCTAAGTGTCAGCCCATGGTACCCAACAGGACATGCCTGGCCATCCGCTAGCCTGGGACATGGGTGGGCCCGGAAATCAGCAAATACTGACCCCGTGTCCCCATGCCCTCACACCCAGCCAGAGCTTGACACCCCTCAGCCGATCTAGTCATGAGTGCTCAGAGCCCGCCTAGAACCTGGTGTGAACACAGCCCATGCACTCTGGGGTCCTGAAGGGCTCCTGCTGCCCCCGGAAAGGAAGTAAGCGGAGGCTACCTGGAGCACCACAAGCCCTGCCCCGCGGAAGCCTGCTGAGCATGGAAGGCTCCCAGCAGGTGCTTGTGACAGCTGATGCCCTTCCAGGCTGGCCCCTCCCTGCAGGGACCAGGGCTCTTTCCTGTCACTCCCAACCTTGACTGATGGCAGCCT